AGAACACCGTGACGAAAATCAGAGCGCATGGAAACGCCGTTTACCTTCCTGCTGCAGTGGTACCTATTTATGTACTTGCACTGGTGTGCTTTCAAACTGCTAGGTTGGCTGGAGCTGGGACAGAGCAATGGGAGCTCACTTCATTGCGCAGATTCGAACTGCTGATCTTTTGATCAGCAAGCCCAAATGGCTCAGTGGTTTAGACCACAGTGCCACACGCATCCTATATAATGCTATAAGAAGTCATACGACAACGGAGAAAGCTAATGGGGGGTTCCCATCAAGCATTTGACAATTTAGAGCATCCAGGAGCATGCTAAACATTAAGATGAATGGTCTGAACGTCGTAGCTAATAATAACTGTTGACAGCTGAAAGTTTGCTCTTCAAGTTGAAACACTTAAAAATCTGTTGTACTTCTTATGAGGTCTGGAATTGTAGCGGGTCACCCAGTCCAATGCCCTGCAATGCAGGAATCTCAGCTAAAGCAACCATGACAGATGGCCATCCAACCTCTGCTTAGAAACCTCCAAGGAAGGAGAGTCCACAATATACAGGGTTCCTTCCCAATGCAGAGAAGTCAATGGAGGGTAGACAACAGAAATGTGATCAAGACCAACACATACTCAACAAATACATATTGGACTAATTAGAGCTGGAAGATGGTCCAAGTATACAATAAACTCAAGACCACTTTTTTGAGAGTAGCTAGTTGGGTGGAGCTGTGGGTAAAACCTCAGCGCCTAGGACTTGCCGATCGCATGGTCGGCGGTTCGAATCCCCGCGGCGGGGTGAGCTCTTGTCGTTCGGTCCCAGTTCCTGCCCACCTAGCAGTTCAAAAGCACCCTTAAGTGCAAGTAGATAAATAGGTACCGCTTTATAGCAGGAAGGTAAACAGCGTTTCCGTGTGCTGCGCTGGTGCTGGCTCGCCAGAGCAGCTTCGTCACGCTGGCCACGTGACCCAGAAGTGTCTGCGGACAGCGCTGGCTCCTGGCCTCTTAAGTGAGATGAGCGCACAACCCTAGAGTCTGTCAAGACTGGCCCGTACGGGCAGGGGTACCTTTACCTTTTTAGTCCATGCCAAATCTGAACAGCTTTACTCTCTTACAAAATTGAACAAAACTTCATCTTACATGTTTGAAAAGTCATTAATTCAAGATGCAGCCACTTCCAGGGGGTGAAGGGTAAAAAGTCTAGTACAAACTACAGTATCCCAAGGCAGGGAAAGAAGGAAGCAATTGTTTCAAATGCTGGATCAAAGGAGATTAAGATGGTACACAGTACATGGTTGTCTATTTCCACTCACTTTGAGGAGGTTTTGTTGATGATGACAGATGCTGTAAACTTATAACCTGGACCAAATTTGACTATGGCTGCTTATGACAAAATAGTATTGCAGAATGATGGTTTGGAAACTGCTGGTTTTAGCTGTATTATGATAAATGTGCGGTCATGCTTACTTACTTCCAGTCTGTTGGGATCCCAGCACCTGAAGGCAACATACACACAGAAGGGGAAGCTATGTGAGCTGAGTTGGGGGGGGGCTTTCCGCTGGATTACACAAGGCCTTAAAAAAAGTCATGTTGGGTCTGGGCAGAAGAGAAGGGGCACAATAGCTCATCTCCATTGCTGGATGGGAGAGCACAGTCCTGGGGCCAAGCCCCAGCTCCAAGCTGAGCAGCAAGGAAGCAGAGGACCAGGAAGGTGAAGGAACAAGGAATCCAGACTCCTTGCTGGGCTGGGAAGTGGGTCTTGGTTAAAAATTTGAGCTAAGCCCAGGCTCCAAGCTGAGCAGGGTGACACAGCAAAGGAGCAAATCTCCTTTCACCCCTATACTTTTTGTGGGTTTCCAACTCTGTGGAATTTTTTTTTTTAAATAGAGGTAACCATTTTATAGCAAAATTACATTTATTGCTAACTTGCACTTTTGAATAATAATGTTGTGCACATATCTGAGTGTAACCTCCACTGAACACAATGTACCCGATTCCATTCTGAGTAAACAGGCATAGGTTTGTGCTGCTAAACAGCCTGAATGCACACAGACTCTTTACCGTTCCGTTTCCATCAGCACCAAACTCTCTCTTACAGGAACAGCTGCAATTACACCCCAGTTAGCAAGCTACATTTTAAATTGATGCAGACATTGTGCTTATGAAAGCTTTCTGTAACTAAGCTACTTAACCGAGTGACTTACAGCAGTAGTAATAATAATAATACCGATCATTTGGCACCCCAGACAAAAGTAGCTTTAAACAAGCCCTGGGCTAGAGAATTCCCAACTGCCTCAGGTGCCCACTAAAGCCTTGTTGCCTGATCTCTGGAAGTCCAGCTCAGAGTTTGGATTTGATATCCCGCTTTATCACTACCCGAAGGAGTCTCAAAGCGGCTAACATTCTCCTTTCCCTTCCTCCCCCACAACAAACACTCTGTGAGGTGAGTGGGGCTGAGAGACTTCAGAGAAGTGTGACTGGCCCAAGGTCACCCAGCAGCTGCATGTGGAGGAGCGGAGACGCAATCCCGGTTCACCAGATTACGAGTCTACCACTCTTAACCACTACACCACACTGGCTCTCCAGTGAAAAACTTCTCTGAAAACTTCTCTGGCTTTTGAGATTTCACCAAGCGTTACCAACTTGCATACCTTTCCACAAGTTGTATCCCATTCTTTTACACCAGAGTGTAACATGTTTGCTAGATGGGCCCCATGCCTTAAAAAGGAATTTTAATATCATTTCTTTGGGAGGTCATCCTGACACTTCCTCTTATTATCTGCATTTTGTACCTATTCTCAAGGCTGTTTATTCTACCATTCTCAACAAATGTGTAGGAACACGAGAAGAGCTTCATCAGATCACACCAAGGGCCCTTCTACTCCAGCATCCTGTTTTCTACAGTGGCAAGAAGACTCTTCTCATGTTCTCTTGATGTTGCTCCTAGCAACTGGTACTCAGAATCAAACCACCTCTGAAATCTGTCAACTGCATTTAAGTCATCCTATCTAGTAACTATTTATGGAATAATAAATTTGTCTACTTCCCAGTTCAAGCCATCTAAGCTGCTGGCCACAACCTCAACTTGTGCTAGCTAATTCGATAGGTTCTCTGTGAAGAAGTACTTTCTTTTGTCTGCCTTCAATCTTCTGCCAATTGGTTTCTCTGGATCACTCAGAGTTCAGGTATTAAGAGAAAGGGAGAACATGAAAGACCATTGAAGTATGCTGGGTGGGGGATGGATCAGGTTTAATTATTTTTAATTAACATAGTCTTGAAGAGAGCTTTTTTTCAGCCAGAACTCAGCAAAACTGTGTTCTGGCGCCTCTCAGGTGGGCACCATTGCCTTCTAAGTCACAGGGGTCAGCAGACTTTTTCAGCAAGGGGCCGGCCCACTGTACCTCAGACCTTGTAGGGGGCCGGACTATATTTGGGGGGAGGGGAATGAACGAATTCCTATACCCCACAAATAACCCAGAGATGCATTTTAAATAAAAGGACACATTCTACTCATGTAAAAACACCAGGCAGGCCCCACAAATAACCCAGAGATGCATTTTAAATAAAAGGACACATTCTACTCATGTAAAAACACACTGATTCCCGGACCGTCCGTGGGCCGAATTTAAAGACAATTGGGCTGCATCTGGCCCCTGGGCCTTAGTTTGCCTACCCATGGTGTAAGAGAACAAGGGAGGCATTCATGATGACTTCCAGAACCTCTTTTTCTAGAAAAATAGCACTGGTCTTGAAAGCAGGTTGGCAAAGCTTGATGAAATTGCAAAAGTTAGAAATTCTGAGTTGGGATTCCCAGTGGTCATGGGAGAAAGGCTTCAGTGACCATCTGAGAGGGCTGAGGCAAAGTGACTTCATGTTTCCTTAGGCCAAGGTAGGAAAGCGTCATGGGTAGGGATGCAGGCAAGAATTTCTTCTCCCCCTTTTCACTCACAGGGTGGGTTTTCCCCTTTGTCTGCCTTACATTTTCCAACCCCACTATTCAGGCACCGTAACTGAATGATTTCCTCAAGACCTGAGGATGGCTGACTTGGAAAGAAGTTGTGCTGAGTTTGCTTGGACAGAGCCACGGCTCCTACAGAGGTCAGTCAAGAAGGAAAGGCCAGCTCCTTTGAAAGGTCAGGCACGATGCACTAGTTTGTTGAGGGATCTGGTTTCTCAAGGCAGAAGCCAGTGGAGATAGTCAGTTTCTCCTACAGCTCCCCTACCTTTTTGCATCTTTCCCAGCAGACTTTCTAACTACTCTGCTGGGGTGGTTATTTGTGGATGAGCCTTACAGGCTCACTGAATTCTTTTTTCTCTTTTGTCATGGACCACAAAGGCAGGCATCAAGCTGTAAAGGCTTGTATTTTCTCTTTGTGGGTCTGTCTCCTCCCACAAAGGTGTATTCCAAAAGACTTACAGCAACATCTCTCTAGACAACCGGAAACAGAACTATTCAGTTTCCCTTAATTTTATGCAAGTTGCAGAATTCAGCTTTTCTTGATGCAGAATTTCAGCTTTTTCCCTCCTTTTAAAGACAGATAATACACACCCTGCATTTTATCAGCACTCATATATAATTTATAATTGCTCACATATATTCATTCACATATTCTAATGGATGGATAGAACTTCGGATTGCAAATGTTGCAAAGGTTTTTGCATGAGCAGGAATGCAAGGAATGGGTTGTTGCCTATTTGCTATTTCTAAATGTGGGCAGCTGCACACTGGCAACCAAAATCTCTTTCCTTCTCTACCTCACCAAGGAAAGAACCAGCATTTACAGTTGTGCAGGAAAAGAAAACCACTGTGATGATATGGAACAAAACTGATCCTGTTGCTGCCAGCTGCCAGTAGACACAAAACGATCTGAAAATAGCAACGGCGATTTTTTGTGCTCTGCAAGGGAAGACACTGAATGTGAACAGCGAAGCGCTGACTGAAACAGCAGTTAAAAAATAAAATAAAATGACAGAACCGCCGTGCAAACAGCCGCTACAGATCACTCACCTTTGCATCTGCTGGTTAAATCAGCACATTTCTACAGCCAAATTTGGGGGCAATTCCTCCAGAAAATGCCGTGCATCCTTTCTCGAAGAAACAAGCAGTGCTGCTGTCTCAGCACATTTTGTTTCATTTTTTTCCCAGGGGGCAGCCAGTACTACTGTCACTTCTGAGTTCCACGGCGCCGCTCCAGTCATTCAGAATTAATATTTCCACAAAGCCATCCAACTTTAATACCGATATCCTTTAGAGACTTTTAGCAGGGGTATGGGAGACAAGGAATGAGGGAGGGAGCCTGGGGGAATGTGGTTTATATGTGACTCACACATAACATTTCCCTTTGCAGAGAGCCTTGGATTGCATCAGTACTGTACTATGTACTGTAAGACGAGCCTCAAAAACAAAACATGGGTCGGCAGCTCCCGTCTAGCTAGCTCATAACCCAGGACCCGATCCTGGGCTTCTGACGCCCCCCTCTGATGGAATCCAAGGGGAGCGCTTGTGGAAGGAGTGCCAGGATCAGATCCCCGAGGCCGTTTATAGATTGGACAATGGCACGGGCGGGCTCTTTTCAACGTACACTTCCCTAAAGCTGCAATTCTATTTTCGTTTCTCCGGGCTGAAGAGCAACACTGCATTTGATTTGGGGGTGGAGGAGGCAGAAGGAGATACCGAGTTCCCTAACTGACCCCACAGCACCAGAACCACATTTGGTTCCCCCACACGGTGCCACAAAATCGCCTTCCTACATATGCGCGCCCTGGAGGGGGGGCACTTTATTTTGTGGGGGGGGTTCTGGATCCTTCCAAACATTAACGAGAAGACGGCAAGTCCCCACCCTGCTGCCCCCCGTGTGTGGGGAGTCAAAGGCATTCCCCAAGTCGAGGCGCCATTGCGCCCCGGAGAGGCGCGCCGGGTGCCTTACCTCACAGACGCAGCCAATGGTCTGTTGTCGCCTGAGGCGTCGAGGTCCGGCCAGGGCAGGCTTCTTCTAAAAGGGAAAGGCTGCAGCTGCCGAGGTCGAGCGGGCGCCTTCTTCTTCTCCTCCTCCCTTCCTCGCCTCTGGCTCCCCTCACAGAGCTCGCTTGGCAGGGAAGCGGCGTCCTTTCCCCGCTCCAAGCTGGGTCTCCACGTCCAGCCAACTTTCCTCGCGCGCGCCCAGATGCTCCCCCCGCGGAGACACTCCCCTTCTCTCACACAATCTCTCTCTCCTCCTCTCTCTCTCTCTCTCTCTTTTCTACGCTCCCTTCTTTTTTTTTTTAAAGCAATGCACAGGAAGGCGAAGGGCTCTCCTCCTCCTCCTCCTCCACAACTACCAAATGACTTTACGGTTCCCCGCAGCCGCCGCCACTGGCGTTCCCTCGCTTTTGCGCGCCGAAATGCAGAACCTTGGCTCCCTTCTGCGTTCCCGTGCATTGCTAGCCTCTGCCTGGAATTGAGGAGGAGGTGTGTGTGAGAGAGAGAGAGGTGGAGAAAGAGAGAGAGAGAGAAAGAAAGGGAGATCATGACAAGCCAAGGGGACATAGCCAGCATATTTTCTCGATGAGGCATTGCAGAGGGGGAAATAATATAGCGAGGAGTTTCTCACACAGCCTAAAACACGTCTCCCTGCCCTCCAAACTGGATCCTGAGGGAAATGGCCCCACTTATTTGGTCAGATTTTGTGTCAGATTTTAAGTCTTCGTGCTCACAACTTGCCCCGGTTGCGAGGTGCGATTTCTCCTGCGATTCTAGCACGTTGGGGCAGACACCGAAGAGGCAAACGTGGAAAAAATAAATAGCGGGTTAGATGGGTGGCCGAAGAGACTAGCCATAGACAGAGGGCAAGAGTTCACTAGGTGACTCACTGAACTGCTTCAGAAGGATCCAATGATCTCCTCAGACTATTTCCCCCCCCCCATAAATAAGCCCCATAAATAAACTCCCTCCATCAGGACACGTAAACAAACCACACTTTATGTACTCAGATTGAATTATTTACCACATTCATCCATTCAAGGAGCTAAGAATCTCTCAGCAAATTGTCCATGAAGCAAACGGTGGTGCTGAAAGATTGTGACAGGTTTTTCTTTGGTTGGTTGCTTAACACCAGTAATTTCCATTTTCAAGTAATGCTCAAGTACTGTTGTAGCTGCTAACTGATGGGCAAAATATGGGATTTAAAAAACTGGCTTCAGCAGAGCAATCCTGTGCCAGTTTACTCAAGAGGAAGTTATATTGTGTTCAGTGGAGTTTTGCTCCTAGGTAAAATGTGCATGGCTTTTATTATTATTATTGTGCGGTATTTTGGAGCAATGCAATGTCAGTTCCATGGCAGTTTAAAACTACCTTATTTCTTGTCCTTCACTTCTGGTCACCAGGGGCTGAAACTATAACCCATAAAAAGCAGTGGGAGTTTTGCTACTAGCTTGAAAAGGAGCAGGATCCTGTTCCAACTGTGTACTTAACCTTTCCCAATCTCTCTCTGTGTGTTTGCAACTGTAGTTCAGTTACATGTGGCATTTCTAACAATATTCTTAAGAAATGATCAAACAAAAGGATGCTTCATGCAGATATTTTCTAAGGAACAATGCAACTTACTTTACACATACATACAAAAACATGAATGCCAACAGGCATATTTGCAAGTGTGTGTGTATTAAAAGAAAAACACTTGGCAAAGAAGAAACAGAGGAGATTGCCTCTCTATTAGGTAGAGTTAGGGAACTACCGCAGGCAACTGATTTGGAGTGCCCTAAATCCCAAATAGTAATCACTTTGACAAAATTAAATAGTTTCCGCTCTGTGGTTATGTCAGGATGCTTCAGAGGGATTTCCCTAGAAAAGTGCTGGTGTCCCAAGAGAACTTAGGATGGAGTTAAGTCTGTGTGCTGTTACTAAACTTTTGTTCCTTTTCTTTAGTCTCCACTGGCAGACAGGATAATGTTGTTCTTTAGTCGTTTAGTCGTGTCCGACTCTTCGTGACCCCATGGACCAGAGCACGCCAGGCACTCCTGTCTTCCACTGCCTCCCGCAGTTTGGTCAAACTCATGCTGGTAGCTTCAAGAACACTGTCCACCCATCTCATCCTCTGTCGTCCCCTTCTCCTTGTGCCCTCCATCTTTCCCAACATCAGGGTCTTTTCCAGGGAGTCTTCTCTTCTCATGAGGTGGCCAAAGTATTGGAGCCTCACTTCACGATCTGTCCTTCCAGTGAGCACTCAGGGCTCATTTCCTTCAGAATGGACGGATTTGATCTTCTTGCAGTCCATGGGACTCTCAAGAGTCTCCTCCAGCACAATAATTCAAAAGCATGAATTCTTTGGTGATCAGCCTTCTTTATGGTCCAGCTCGCACTTCCATACATCACTACTGGGAAAACCATAGCTTTAACTATACGGACCTTTGTCAGCAAGGTGATGTCTCTGCTTTTTAAGATGCTGTCTAGGTTTATCATTGCTTTCCTCCCAAGAAGCAGGCGTCTTTAAATTTCGTGACTGCTGTCACCATCTGCAGTGATCATGGAGCCCAAGAAAGTAAAATCTCTCACTGCCTCCATTTCTTCCCCTTCTATTTGCCAGGAGGTGATGGGACCAGTGGCAATGATCTTTGTTTTTTTGATGTTGAGCTTCAGACCATATTTTGTGCTCTCCTCTTTCACCCTCATTAAAAGGTTCTTTAATTTCTCCTCACTTTCTGCCATCAAGGTTGTGTCATCTGCATATCTGAGGTTGTTGATATTTCTTCCGGCAATCTTAATTCCGGCTTGGGATTCATCCATCCCAGCCTTTCGCATGATGAATTCTGCATATAAGTTAAATAAGCAGGGAGACAATATGCAGCCTTGTCGTACTCCTTTCCCCGGATAATACTGTTATGGATTTGTGGGTGCCAGGCTTCTAATCCCTATAATCCTAGCAAGTGTCAAAATATAAATCAGGCAGAGGAGATTGACTGGCGAACGGGCCATTAAGAGAACCAAGGAAAGGGGGCTTTGTGCCAGATGGCAAAATGGGTGGGGCTCCTCCTCTTCTCTCTCTTAGATCACGAGTCGGACAATGCAGGAGTTGAAGGGTGGAGTTTACTGTTATGTGAGTGAGAAGCTGGAGTAAAAGCAGCAAGCAAAGGATCAGAGAGCAATGTTTGATTTCTGTTTCAATCACAGGCTGCTGCTATGGGAGAAAAAAGACCTTTTGGGGGTGTTGATGCTGTGAACCCCTCCATCCCATGCTCAGGTTGTATGTATGCGTAACTAAACTAAACTAAACTAAACTAAAAACTAAACTAAACTAAACTAAACTAAACTAAACTAAACTAAACTAAACTAAACAATACCGTAGAGGTTCTGGGCCCTAAGGAAGTTAGATTAGCCTCAACCAGAGCCAGGGCCTTCTCAACACTGGCTCCAGCCAGGTGGAACATGAGACCAGGGCCCTGCGGGTTCTGATTTCTTTCCGCAGGACCTGTAAGACAGAGTTGTTCCATCTGGCCTTTAGCTTAGAATCAGTTTGATTCCCTCCCCCTCTTTCTTTTTCCTTTCTCCTACTGTGAAGAGGCTGCATCCTAATGTTTTAATGTTGTATTTTAATCTTTTTTAAATTGTATTTTAATCAACTTGTTTTTATCATTAGTTGTTAGCCGCCCTGAGCCCAGTCTTGGCTGGGGAGGGTGGGGTATAAATAAATTATTGTTGTTGTTGTTGTTGTTGTTGTTGTTGTTTTTATTTTTATTATTAGTATTATTATTATTATTATACCATAAATCCTGAAGACACCACACTCTTGACTCTGCCTCATTCTGAAAAGGAAACAAAAACCCTGGAGTTTCGCACTGCTGGGAGATTGGGGTGTCATGCAACAATACCACACCCTAGCTTTTTGTTTAGTGTGAAATGCATATGCAAACTAAGAGCCCGTGCTCAGGAGAGTGTACAAAGAGTTTCCCATTTTGTTCTTAAAGCAATCTATGGGGAAAAGGTTGACAGTGCTTTCTGGTGGCTTTCCACTGTGCATCATAGTCACAATGGAGACTTGAGCTCTGATCCACTATGTTATGTGGGCTGTCATTTGTATCCTCTTTCATATGACTGGCATACAACCTAGTAGGGATAAAGACGGCATAGGCAAACTCGACCCTGTAGATGTTTTGGGACTACAATTTCCATCATCCCTGACAACTGGTCCTGCTAGCTAGGGATCACGAGAGTTGTAGTCCCAACACATCTGGAGGGCCGAGTTTGCCTATGCCTGGGATAAAGGATCAAAATAAATATTGCGTGCAACTTCTGAATTTTCTAAACATACATTTTGAATTTCTGGGATCCAAGTTCTTTTCTAGTTACAAAGTTCAAACATGCGTCTTATATTATGCAGCGCGGTTGGGATTTTGGGAATCACTAAGGATTCTTATAGAATAAAACTGTTATTGCAAACCAGCTGGAAAAACAGGATTCGACAAAAGACTTGGACAAAGGTCTTGGAGCGGAATGTAGCTATAAGATAAAAGGCTGTAATAGATTTACAAATTATATCTGGATGTGGGAAAGTGAAGAGAAAAATCTGGAAAGTGAGCAAAAAAGTGCCCTGCTGTTTAGTTCATACATCAAATGTATATGTTCAGCCAAAGGTCATTTAGCTTATTTTTCCATTTGATTCATAGACTGGAGTGTGTGTGGGTGTACAGTATAGCACATGCATTT